CTTCAAAAATGTTACTTAGCTTTATGGAGGAGAAGAGTGCAAGCAAATCGACCAACTAACATCAGTGCAACCATATGTTGAACAAGTTCTCAAAGAATTCTTAAATGAACTGATGTGCTTGCTCATATATATATCATTCCATTAATCTTGCTGGTTGATCAAGACAACTTTAGATAATGCTAACCTATCTGCCCTGTAAACTTCAACTTTCCATTAAAACATATGCAATCCCATTAGCAAAATACTATAACAAGAAGAAAAAATGAATATGTGGTAAAAAATCTGCCCCTCAAAATGTTTATCTACACATATGCATAGGAAAGAACAAGCAAATCGACCATCTCTCTCTCTCTCTCTCTCTCTCTCTCTATATATATATATATATATATATATATATATATATATATGATTTTAGTGTGTGTACTGTGGCCTATCAGTAGAGCAGCCTTTCTGAAAGTCGTAAATCTCCTCAAGTCACGGGTTCAAATCCCCCCGAGGGTATGGTTCTCGAATATTTAACACACATAGGAATGACCGGGGCTCGTATAATAGCCTTCGACCATTCATTATTATATATATATATAGTTGTGAACTCGCTCCGCGAAACACTTGCAAAATTCCAAATAACTTCTCTGTAGCTAAGAACCTCATACCCGAACACCTTGTCTCTTCGCGGACACCTTGCTGCAGCCTAATGGAGAAGAATGCTGAACTTTTATTTGTCCTGGGCTGCAGTTCACACTCTACCGTTCCTGCAAGAAGTGAACACCTCTGTCACGGTTCCAAGAACCAGCCAAGAAAAATCTTGACCGTCGAATTCCTGCAGTTCTTGAACGACGGATATTGCTTGCTTCTATGTCTGCCTTAGCCGAAGGACTCACCAACAGCAAGATTCCCGAGCACCTTGCTGCAGTGATTCAAGAAGATGATCTGCGAAGCCTTGCTGCAATCTGTTAGTTGTTCCTTGCAGGTCTACAGTTTCCAGGAATGAAGAATTACTCCTAGAATCCCTCTTATCAGTGCTTCGTCTACTTGGACAGCCGAATAGCTTGCAAAACAGCCGAATGGGAAAGGAAAAAAAAGCGAATCGCAGCAAGCAGGGAAAAAACAGGAAAGAAAAATACAGAAAATGAAACGCAAGAACACAATTAATTACGTGGTTCGGTCCATAGAACTACATCTACGGGAGAGAATCATCACTAAGACAAAGAAAAATTACAGGTTTTTTACATCAATGAATGAACACTCCTCTGGATCTCTCCCTCTCGAAACTATCTTGATACAAGATCTAAAACTCCTCCCTCAATTCTTGAAGTCTCTTTCCTTCTTCTTCTTCTTAGACTGATTTCCTTCCCCTTCTTGGTCTTCTTGGTCTTCTTTCTATCTTCCTCCTTGTAGTGGCGTCTCCCCTCTACAAGCTTATCTTCTTTACTTGTAGTAGACTCCTCCCTTCTTTCCTACAAGCCTTCCTCATCTATTTATTGATGAGACCCCCCCAAGTAAACCATAGAAGCTCACAAGAAAATTACAAGTATGTCATTGCCTTAGTTAACCAATTGAGAGTCATATATAACAATTCTCCTCCTTGACTCTCAATTACGACGCTTCATAGTAGAAATTCCCTCCACCTTAATGTCTAGCTCCACCAGCTTGATGTAGACTGGTAACAAAATAAGCTTAGTTGTATCAAACAAGTTTCGTTTGGTGTGCCTTCATTTATTTCAAAGAACCGTTGGGAAGTAAATACAGCTCTAATAGTTATATTTTTTTAGCAAAAAATTTAAACTGCAAAGATACTTTTAGCCAGTAACACAAATCAATATTTGGCTTGAAAATTTTGTTGAATAGATTTTATTTGTTAATTATAATTGTTTGGTAGGTTTTGTGATCTAACACACACAGATCTCTCTCTCTCTCTCTCTCTCTCTCTCTCTCTCTCTCTCTCTATATATATATATATCTATCAAACTTTAACTGAGATATGTAAGTACATAAGAATTATGTGACATGTTTGTATATTTCCGTTTTTTATTTTTTTATTGGATGAAGATATGCAGAGTTAATTAATTACTGAAATATTTAAGAATTACTTCACAGAATCTTTACCAAGATAACATGGAGAGAAAGATTGAGCTTTTAAAGGGAGTTACACTCGGCAACAAGGATTTGTTTCAGCTAACCCCTCTTCGGCAGGTACTGATCAGAAGCTTATTTAATAATCTTCATAGTTCATATTTATCCCCCTCTTCATCTCGCAGGAAGTTTTGATTCTATGGGGAGAGCACGACGGCATTTTTCCAGTGATTAAGGCGTTCCAGCTCAAGAAGTATGCCTTATTTTTATTTGATTAACTATTATTTGATTTTAAGTACTAATTTCATTCTATATGATATCATATGTAAGGATTTAGCACACATATTTAAAAGGCAATATAATCTTTATGTTCATAGATACTTTTGTCCAATGGTGTTGTATGTGTTAGGGAAGAGAGTAAAATATGTTTAATCACAAAGTAATTGTAAAGGAGAGACTAAACCTTTGTTTGAAAGAGCGTCCCCATTTAGTAAATCTCCTTTAAAAGTCACATTTGCCGAATAAAGGAGGCTAGCTGTGATCTAATATGGTGAAAACTTGTTGTTCTTGCGATACAACTTCCAGAGACGTTCAGGAGATGTTCCTTCGCTAAATGAAAATTTTTCGGACATCGGCATTCACTGCAACGGAATAGAACTCCACGTTTTATCAAACTAAACCTAAGAACTACAAAACTAACACTAGAAAATTTATGCTTATGTCTAGGCCACATAGAGATCAAATAAAATATATGAATAATTGTACTTCTTACAAAATTAGAAATATTAACAAAGATATCACTTTATTTAACTGAGAGAACTATAAATCACTTATAAAATGATAACCTCAATTTAATACTTTCTGTAGCATTTGTTTAAGACTTTTTAGTAGGCATCAAGTAGAAAAATGCGGTAACTATCAATTTTAAACAAATAAAATCAAATCTTATTCAAGATAATCATTGAAATTAGACTCTAGCATAGTTGTTTCAAAGATAAGCTATATGTATGAATAATAAAGCTAGCAACCACAATGTAATGAGTTTATTTTACTGTTAAAGCTTATAAATCACTTAAATCAATAAGCACCATCGATATGATATAGAAATTCTGCAAACAAAGACAGTGTTTAGAAGTATTTATGATGCAAATCAAAACAATAACTATTAGATGATATCATATAAGATTTGTTATTATCCAATCAATACTTAGTTATATATGATCTATATTACTTATAAGATCAACAAAAGCAACATAATCTTAAGGTGGCAGAAAAGACTTGACCATTGAAGATGATTAACTATATGACATCTTGAATAAATTGCAAATGACAAGTTTTAGTCATGTATAATCATATTCCTACAAAAGTTCTCCTTGCTATTTATACATCGCAAATCCTCAATACTTTTTTTGTTCATTTTCTTTTACAAAATTTGGGTGAAATTAATGATAAAAATAAAAGTGAATATAATGCAAATGCAGGAAACTTGGAGAGAAGGTAAAATTGAAGATATTCAAGAACACTGGGCATGTTCCTCAATTAGAAGCTCCTGATGAGTTCAATAAGGTCCTGCTTTCCTTCTTATTAGGCTCTCCTAATTCTACATTGTGAAGCCTGTTACCCCTTGGGCAGTACATTCTTACATATAATTTATATTGTACTTTGTTACCAATATTTATTCATACTTTATATTTCATATTATTAATATTTGGTGATAATTTAAGGGCACCTATGCTCCACATAATGTATCTTTTGTCCCAATTTTTCTTGCCACTTAGGCCTCGTTTGGGGCAGCTTATTTATTGCGTTGCGTATTGAAAACTCCCCCAGACATGTTTGGATAAATTGCGTTTTGGCAGTTTATTCAAAAGTAGCGCTTTCAAACTGTTGAAATCAATGTTTTCATACCGTTACTAGCTAGGTGCAGTGACAACTTTCTAGCCATGATATGGTTTTTCCAAAAAAAAAAAAATTTTAATAGTCACCACAGTTTTTTAAATAATATTATTTTTTCAGCAGCTTATTAATAAGTTGTAGCTACCCCAAACAGACCCTTAAGCTCTTTTTATATCCTAATAAAGTTTGCGGAAACCCTAAATTAGAATGTTTTGCTATAACTATAAAAATGTTGAATAGTTTATAATTTTATAATTAACTTGAAATTGATAATTAACTGTTTACTAATATTAATTATCATTGTTATTAAGATAATTAAGGTAATATTACAACTATATTTATTATACTTAAGTATGGATTAATTAATTAATCATTATGTTAGGCATAATAACATAAGAATTGTGGTTACTAAAAATTCAACTAAAATAAAGGAAATTTACATACATATCATACCGCGCGATACTTATCTATTTATATATCTAACACATAAATTTTGATATTTGCAATTATTACACTTTAAAGTTAGTGATAGTGGTATTTTTGATGTGACGCCGATAATTTGAGTGGTATGTAAATATGAAAATTGAAGTGTTATATATGTAAATACATAAAAATTGTATTAACTATGATTAACATATCTAACACTTAACTTTCATTTTTACATGCATAACACTCAAAATTTAATATTGCACTAAAAATTCCATTTTTATTAATTTTTTAAAAGGGAAATTGTTTTATGTCAACAAGGTGTTATAAATGTGAATATCAAATGTTAGTCATTAGATATGTAAATACATAAGAATTGTGTGGTATGCATGTAATTTTTTTCTAAAATTAATTGTGATTATAAGATTTTAATCAGGATAATCATGATATTTAAGCAAGGGATAATATTTAATCATTAATTACTTGTATAAAAAATTCACTATGATTAGAATTTTTAATTAAGATATTTACGTATGGAATAATTAATTAATTATTCCTAATAATGAAAAATTCAAAACTATTAATAAGGTCTTAAATTAATATAATTCTAGATTATTTAAAGGAGAGTATGTCATTTTTAATTAGTTAAGTTAAAAAAAACAATTAATGAATATTCCTGAGCAAATGAAATTAATATGTAACGAAATGTATTTTTTGTCTTTTCTTTTAACTATTACAATTTATAATTATGATACAAACACCAAATTGGGCTGTTAATTAATTAATTAATTTTTTCTAATCTTTATTTACAACATTTAAATATTTTGTCAAATCTTTACCGATATGCAAAGACATAAATTTATAAGTATATAAAAACTAAATAATTTATTGCATAATATGTTGTAGTGTTCATTGAATTTTTATAATAATATGGTCACAATATTTGCACTTATGTGAGTGATAGTTAGAGTATTTATTATAGTAATGGATATTTAAAAGCTTATATAAAATATACTCAGATAAATTATCCTAAAATAAATATGTAGTATAGTCACATAATTATATAAATTAATCATGTGAATATATTAAATATACTACTATCATGATACTTTATAAGCTTTATATAAATATTTGGATAATTTATAAGTTCTCTGATAAGTCCTAGGTCTAATAATTATGACTTGAGTTTTCCGGCCTGAAGGCCATTCAAGAAAATAAAGTACAGATTACGAAAAAATATTAAATATTTTAAGCCTAAATTTTAATTAATCTCAAATTTTTTTATTAAACTTTTGTGAAAAGTTTATTAAAATTTAGGTTTTAAGAAGCCTAAGTGATCTGCTCGATTCCCAGACAAAATCACAAGCAAAAAACGGGAGAAATTGTTAATCACATGTATGGAAAACAGTAAAACAAGTCAAATCAAAAGAATAAGAGAAGGGAGGGTGTCTTTGGGTCCTCAAAATATCTCGGAAAGAAAGAGACGGTGAGGCATCTGGTCCTAATTCTATACGTCATTGAAATTTAGAAGTAAGGTACATGACCTGAGCAAATAGCTCCTGGTCCCCATCACGTGGTTCCAACAGCCTAGCACTTTGGAACCCGTGTCTGTATCTTATTTTTAGTATGAGACTCCCATAAGAATAAAAAGCACATAGAAAGAGTAGAACATTTTTTCTTTATATATGTCGGACTCCAGGCAAACACATATATGGGACAATCACTCTACTAGTTGTACTGTGGGTAGGGCTATCAAAAAAGTTCAGTGTTCACGAACAACTCATGTTCTACTTGTTAAGTAGCTTGTGTTTGATTCGTACGTTAAATAAATTGAGAGGTTTCCAAGCCCTTGACCAGCATGTCAAAGATATATACCTTCATAGTTTGTCTAATGATAACTTTAAATGCCTTGTTCCTTAAATGATATTAATTATGTTGCATCCATATTCTTCCACCCAAGGGTAAAACTCTGTCGGAGTACAGGTCTTTGATCTGTTTGGAAGGAAATAACTTCCTCATCAAGAGGATTCATCTTTACTAGTTGTAATCAAAATGAGCATCCATTAAGACGGGCACTTGATGTCAAGAGGTGGCATCGATTAAATTATGTATTCTAGGAAAAAAATTATCTTTTGCGCGAACTTTTTTCAAAGCAATATAGTCGACACATTCTTTATACTCCGCAAACCTCCTTCACCATAATGACATTTACGAGCCACATGACATGATGTACCTCCTATAAAAATTTGCTTGGAGAAGCTAATTGATCTCTTGTTCGATAGTTTGCAGTCATTCTTATGTAAAATCTTATTTCTTTTGGAATATCAACTTATATATGGGATCGATCTTTAGAAAGTGGACAATTACTTCAGGATTAACCCCGGGCATATACGTTGGACTCTTGGTAAACACATCTTGATTTTTACAGAGCAAATTCACATACTCTAGTTTTTGGCCAGTGTATAGCAAAGATTCAAACTGCACCGTTTGTGAGATCTGTTCCTTTGCTAATGAAACAAAGATCAAAACTTCAACTAGAAAAGCTGGCTAGGAGATATTTTTATTTCAAATATCAAATACAAGAATACTGAGTCTCAAATGGTCATGATTGAGCTTGTTATTGTGCTACGTTCTAATCCCCTCGTAAAACTCCAACTCTTGTTAGTGTTGGGAACTTCATTTCAAAGTGTGATATAGAAACAACAACCCCAATGGTTGATTGAAGAGGTATTCTGAGGATGGCACTATATGTCGATTCCAACTTGACTACAAGAAATTGGATCATATGAGTCGTTTGTCAAGGGAGCACTCCCAGTTAGGGGTGTAAATGAGCCGAATATGAGCAAGCCAAGATTTATTCATGTTTGGCTAGTTCGAAGTCGTTTGTGTTCAAAATTAGCTCGTGTTTAAATTTGTTCATGAAATCTATGTTCATGTTCAGTTCAATTTGTTAGATTTTGGCTCGAATTGTTCTATATGAGCTCAAAAGAAAACTGGATGGTCTAGACGAGTTCGTATCAACTGAGCTTTAAAAAATATTTTATTAAATTTAATAAATTATTATAACACAATTAAATATCAAAATTAATTAATTTTTTAAAATCCTTTTAGAAGGGAAGAAATATATCACATAGGTAGGAGTGTAAACGAGCCGAACATGAGCGAGCTAAGCTCCTATTCGTGTTTGCCTCATCTGAAATTGTTTGCGTTCGAAATTTGCTCATGTTCTAATTTATTCAAGAAATTTACGTTCATGTTCGATTTGATTTGTTCGATTTTTGGCTCGAACTGTTCGGAATAAGCTCATTATTAACTGATTGGTCTAAATGAATTGTTTGTATCAACTTGCATTCAAGCTCAACCTAATATTTATTAAACTTAATAAATTATTATACCACAATTAAATATAAAAAAATTATTTGTTTTTTATATCCCCTATGAAGGGCAGAAATAAACCTCATAGGGGCATTCCCCAAGCCCCTAATACCACCCCCCTTGTCCAACAATTGCTACTGTTTTTCATATTTAGACAAAACTACAACGAGAATACAAAATGACTCCCCAATGCGTGATAGAAATGAGAAATGAGAAATCACCGGGGACAAAGGCAGTCGAGGGAAAATATATTCCGTCTGAATATCTGTACGTTCAGGCGATCAATTACACCGGAAGTGAATATTTCGTTCGAACATCCGCACGTCCGGACGATCAATTATATTGGCAATCATGTTGCCGCCAATGAAGTGTGTGGCGAGTGGCCTCCGGAGCTGTGTCCGGACGGATTATTCTCTTTTGGTCGGGTGGAAAGAATTTTAAACAAGTTTACATACCCAATTAATAAGTATTTACATGTCTATCCCGTGTGAAATTTCAAATGGTGGGAAAAAGAATTTGCCACCAGAATTTTCAAATGGTTGAAATTACATGTCTATCTGGCGTGTCTAATCTATATATATAATCAATACTTTTTTATCTTAATAATAGAACACATTAACATAATGGGGGCATTTAGAAGCATATCACTCAATTCCTATGTATTTACATATCTAACATCTAACTTTTGCCTATTCTAGATCGGAAACCTCCTTGGCATCAAAGTTGACATATTTTTTATACATATTGTTCTAGCACATAAATTTGAATTATTTTTGAGACATTTACATATTGTTAAACTCGAATTTGTTCGTGAATCACACCCAACGAATAGAGCATAAAGCATATAGATTTGTGTTATGTACAACTGCTACTTTTCCCTTATCCATATTTAAGTAATATTTGAGATCAATTTCTAATAACTGTCGACTTTTGGTCGGTCGACTTCTGGTCTGGTGTTCTACGATCGGTCTTCCTCTAGTCGGTCGGCTAGCCTCTGGTCAGTGAGCTTTTGGTCGGCTCGCCTACGATCGATCAGCTTCAGGTCATTCATGTGTGATTGTCATGCTTAGTATGACCCAACATTTTTTTCATGAGGCCAACCTTTCGCACCCAATTCTTATGTACTTACATATTTAACACCTAAACTTCGATTATTATATTAATACCACCTATTCTTTCATATCATATAAAAATTTCACAACTTTAATGTTCTAAAAAAATTAAATACATCTTTTTAATGCATAGGAAAGCTGAGTTGTATGTAAGAAATGAAGTTCAGTTGTTAGACATATGAATACAGAAGAACAGAGTGTAATATATGTGATTCTTTCATTATTCTATAAGAGATGTACATATGTACATTATAATCATTATGTTTATACATATCTAATCTATAAACTTTAGTTTTTACATTTATATCCTTACCTTTTTTGAATGCTAGAAATAGCCAGATATGTAAATACATAAGAATTGTGTGGTTGATATGTAAATGCCCCTTATTTTATTTAATTAAAAAGGGTCTTAAGTTGCTTTAGTTTCAAGAACTTGCATTACAAACTTTACTTTGTGGGCATAAACTAATTTATTTAACAAAAGTTTTATACTAATAGAATGATATTATAGCATTTGAAGAGAATTAATTTGATAAAATTGATTAGGTTTGATTTTTTTTTTTAATTTTACTTTAAAGATATTCAGGGTAGTCGAGTTGCAAATGTTCTCAAGCGGGTCACCTTGTTTATAGAATAGAGTTGTTAGTCACATATAATCAGTCTGATCACCTTCTTACGAGAGTCGAAGTTGATGGGACGAATATTTTTAATAATATTAAAGCGAGAAATTTTAAGGAGATTTTTGTTTTGCTAAAAGAATGCATTGTAACAGAAATGTAATGAAAAAGTGGTGCATTGTATTTAGAATATTTTATACAACACAAGTAGTTAGAATTCGCCCAAATACAAGTTCAAATGATAATATTTCATGATCATTTTCTTATCCCGTATGTTCCTGCCATGGCTTCCTACCGTTTGAGCTGTGAAGAGTGTGAGTAAATTTGATTGACACAAAATATTTTGTCAACTGTGGTAGAATTAAATTTGCCCTCATAGATAAAAATCTATCACATGTCTAGAAGACCCCCTTTGATGACATAACCATTGACAATGATCCCTCAATTAGTTCGAGTCTACTTCTATGAACCAAGACGATAAAATCATGACATCTTAATTGGGTTTGTAATCAGTAATCACCCCTCATTAAGTTCTATTTGATAATTTAAAACATAAATATGTTGTTATTATATAATGACCGACCTCTCGAAACTTCAATGGTTTGCTTTGATTGACAGTGCTCTCGCGTCATTGAGAGAGATAATAACAGATAGAAGCATGCACATATTTAAATCTCAAACCCTTAATTTTAAAGTTCTTGAACAATAAAGATGAAATCTCCATGCAGAATGTTATTTTCAGTTTCATTTGCGTCTAAAAATTTGTCGTGAAATTCGATTCATTCAAATTGATCGAATATACAAAAAAAAAGAGCTATATTTATTTTTAAAATATAAAATTATAATTCACTCTCATTGAAATAAATAAATAAATAAATAAATAAATAAATAAACCAATGCTCAAAAACTATTATTAGGAAGTTAAAAGTAACTTTCAAAATTTCATATTGTTGGTGTCACATATTTATCAAAACAACATTTTCAGAAACTTTTACGTAAAATAGCAACTGAACGAACCGGGCCCCATCCGACGCAATTTCCTGTAAATGAGCGTTATTTTGCAATTTCAGCAAACAGGCTGGTGCCGGTATCCTTATCCGCGGTAAATAGAATCTCCAATCAAGTTTATTTTTTCCAATTATAATCTCCTGACCGTCCGATCAAAATCGGACGCGTCAAAAATAAATAAATTATAGGATAGCGATAAACAGCTGGCGTGCAACTCACCCTCCTTCCATAACTACCAGATTTTATCCGCTTCCGCAGGACACGGGACCACGAGCGAAACCACGACCCCGAACCGGATAAGCCTTGTTCTAAATCCTAGGCGCCAACTACAAAATCTCTGACCGCGTACTGTTGACAAATACATGTGGCATGTTATACACCGTTGGATCTTCGTATTGACACGTGGTAATATCTGGTTTCCAGATGGGAGGCCGTTCAGATAATAGCTAATTATTTTCTTATTTTGTTTTAATTAAAAAAAAAAAAGAAGTCTTCTGTTCATATTTAGCGCTCTCCAGGTTAGAGTTTGTTGTTTGTTTCCCTGTCGTCGGGAGTGTGAGGGGAGCGCCGGCGAGGAGAGAACGTGTCGGCCGGAGAGTTCGCCGGAGTGAGTGAAGCGATGTCGATTGCGTTGGAGTTAGGTGCGGGGATTGGGAGCGCGGGATTCATCGGTGGAATTGGATGCGTCCCGATCTATGACTCGCCGGAGGTCGAGAAGGATCGGCCTCTGTCGCCGGAGTCCCCTTCTTCTACCTCTTCGGCGTCATCTTCGATCGGGAAAGATAGTGATGAAGTGGGTGGGGAATTGGAGGACGATGAGGGTGCAGGGGCGGGGGAGGTGCAGAGCGCTTACAAGGGTATGTTGAATGGGATGGAATCTATGGTGGAATCACTGCCGATCAGGTGCTATATCTCCATCCTGTTTTCTATTTAATGATTTTTATCTTTTGATTTGGTAGCCTTGATTATTTTTCGGGTAATGAATACTGAATAGTGTTTTGGGGGATTACTTGTTCTTGTCAAATAATAGTTATGTATAGGATTGATTTGAAGTTCTATTTGCGTGCATATCTATTTTGCTTAATGTAGTAAGAATTGACTTGTTATTGTTTTCCAAGTATTAATTTCAGTTTCTACAGAATGGATCAAATTTCGTCGTTTTTCATTTAGGGTTAGATCGTCTGATTATTGTGTTTTTCTTTCTTAAAATTGATGGGTTTCTGGCTTTTCTGGGCGATTGCGTCTCGTACTCTGCTTGCAATTTTGAATGGTAAAGAAAAAGAATGGCGAGGATTCAAAGATCTGTTAGTTTGATTGTGTCAGTTCCCAAATTTTATTTTCTCGCTTTTGTCGCAACGAGCGAATCTCTGAAGAGCCTCATATAGAGTTAGGATGTCTCTATCATGATTGTACGCGAAAGTAGGAGCAGAAAAATGAATTGCCCTAATGGTCATTCTGTATGATTTTTGCTAAATTTTTCAATCCTGCTGACATGCTGTGTTCGATTCATTTTGAATGTCTACCTTAACATTCTTGTGCTCTATTCAGAATAGAAAGAGATTTACATATGCTTTTTTCTCCAGATTTACGTTGAGTTGGGGCATTTACATATATACCACCCAATTCCTATGTATTTACATATCTAACTGTTAAACTGTTTTTACTGTTTTTTTTTTTTTTTTTTTTTTTTTTAACATGTATTTCACGCAAATCTTTAATATCACATCAAATATATCACCATTTGCATCCATTGATAAGGTGGTATGTATGTAAAAAATCAAGTTTTTTTTGTTAGATATGTAATTACATAAGAATTGAGTGGTGTGTATAAAAAACTTCCAAAATATTTCTATATTTTCTTATAGATTTCAATTAGCTTTCACACGATTAATGGAAAGAAATGTTAAATGGTTTATTTGATGCTTTATTTATTCTTTTTTTAGTTAGAGGCATTCTTAAACAGCTGAAGAACTCTTCATAAAAAATCGAATTCAATTTGTTATAACTTCGTGGAAACATATACAATTAATTGGAACCAGCTCAATTATGTTGATCAAATAAAATACATACCTTTTTCTCATGTCATTTCATCTATTTCCAGACAGAACCAGAACTACTACCAGATGTTAGTATTGATTGTAGACAATCGTTGTGACCTGTTTAAATATGTATTTTTTTCAGCACAAATAATCAACTACACGCATTAAATTTCTTGTCTAATATCAGTAGATTCATCAAAATCCTATTTTTGATTCAAATATTAACATAATGTCACTTCTTTTCTCCATATTTGCAATGATACCATTCTAATGAGTACATAGAGTGAAGTAATTGTTCTTCACTTATTATTAAGCCCCTCTAAGCATCTATCAACAAGGAGGTTGTTTTATGAATTCTTGAGACTGTAATAATGCAATGCCTGATCTACTGAATTACATGATTGTCAAGATATATGAACTTGTATTCAAATTTGAGAACTTGATATGCCAACTTGTTTCCACAGGCGTGGCATTTCCAACTTCTATGCAGGCAAGGCCAAGTCTTTCGCCAGCCTCTCCGATGCCACCGCCTCCTGCGCTTCAGCCAAGGACATGGCCAAGGCCGAGAATGCTTATTCTCGTCGGCGAACAAATCTCCTTGCGTCGAAGATCTTCTGCGAGAAACAACGCAGCAATCTGTTGAGGAGTCCCGTGGGCGGCATAGCTAAAAGACCAGGATCTCACAGGCGAAACCCGCTGGCCCTTGCAGCCGCCATGAACAGCTCTCCAAGAAGCAATAATTCCGTGGAATATGGAGATTTGCGGCCGCCGGGCAAATCTGCAGTTGTTCCTGAAGATTCAGTGGAGGCTTCTTCTCAGATTTGCTCTTTGCCAATGAGGTCGTTCTCGTTGGGTGATCTACCGGTGTTGAAGAATCCTGGTTCTTCGATTGGACCGTGTGGGGAACTATAATGGAGGTTTTATTGATGAAGATTTGTTGGATAAAAAATGCATTTTTAGTAGATGGATGTGGGTATAGTGGGATGATGGTGTAGTTTGCGTCTGGAGTTCAATGGTAGGTCATCACTTGTTGAGTGGGCCCCACTGTAATACACTAGTATTGTCCAGTGTCAAAAGCCTTGGGGCCCACTTAACACGTGACGCCCCACTATTAGACTTTGAATGCATCTGGAGTCCGAATGTAATAGTTTTTCATCAGGTTTTTTCATAGAATTATTTACATAACATACCACAATTACTATATATTTAGGTGTTCAACACCAAGATTTTATTTTTTACATGTATACCGCCCACATCTTTGACATGTAACCGATTTAAATTTTAAAAAGTGAAATATATATTTTTTCATCCTGCAATAAATGCAAAAATTCAAGCTTAGGTGTGAATATGTAAATACATAGGAATTAAGTGGCATGCATGTAAATATTGCCTTTTTTTCGTCTTATTATTAATACATATGTATAAGTTTCTGTTATCCTTATGTTGACATGGACTTAAGAGCACTTTTAATTTTACAATATAAATGAAATATGGTCCGAAATGAGTAGCGTCGTGCATTATTTGGGTAGAATTGGATGTAATTTGAAATGGAGATTGATTGATGGGATGAAATGCGAAATTGATGAACAAATTCATTCAAAACCCTACAAAGATGTAGATATGTAGACTTGCCGTCTCTCCTAATTGCGAAAAAATATTACCTCAGGAGTACTGATGCATCAGTACTCCAATGAGGGGGTGCCACGTAGGCACCACGGTGGGACCATTGCCTACGTGACACCCCCTCATTGGAGTACTGATGCATCAGTACTCTTGAGGTAATATTTTTTTCCCTAATTGCATGTGAGGGCTCGGTTTGTTGCTTGTAGATTTGGTTGGTCGAAGGCTTGAAGCTGCGTGATATGTTAGGAATGTTTGTTTGTTTTATGGAAGAAATCTAAAGCTTTAATAAAGGTTTGTGTGGGTGCATGTATTAGAATATTTTAAATGTTGTTGATTTAAATTTAATATATTTAAAGGCTTAAGAAACTATTTCTTCATGGTTGGTTGTCACATAGGGCAACATTAATTGGTGTGGAGGATATTGAGATGAGAGTTAGCTAGCAAGGTTGTGAAAATTGAGTCGGATATTGAAATGGATGAAGATAATGTTTATGGTTAGATGGTTCAATTGGGGTTTAATCGAAGGTTGAACTGAATGATGTAATAAGTATTTAAATTATTTTAATAGGATTTTAGTAATAGAATAATGATATAATATCATTTTTTTTATTTAAAAAAAATATTTTAATTTTAAAAAATATTTTTTAATATTTTGAATAAAAATTTTAATGCGTGATATTTTCACTATTTATAATTTAAATATCTTATTTTCGGTCATTGGATTAAAATTAAAATGTTAAAATTTGATAACATTTAAACCAATTAGTTCCTTAAAACTTGGACTTAATAGGTTCAATGATCGGTTCACGGTTGAACTAGGCAGGCCGATTCGTTTTTTAAAACCATGCTAAGTTGCACAAACAACATTTTTTGTGCTAGATCAGAGGGACGAAAAGAGTTTGCCAGGGTAGGCATTATTGATGGAAAAGATAGAAGTTGGCGTGAAAGTGGAAAGGGAAGAAAGAAATATCTGTGGTTTTCTCAATAATCCAAATGTTATCTATTACAAAAAAATATTTATATAGAGAGACATAAGCCTACACACATTCAGATATTACAGGATAAAAATAATAATAATAACATAAACTCATGATCCAAGGATATGAGGCATTTTTCAGGCTCAATATCAGCCCCTCACAAACTAATATATTGTTAGTTTGCTCCTAAGAGTGCAAAACATTGGAGCGGGAAGTGCTTTGGTAAGTATACCCGTTAGTTGCTCATCCGATGGCAAAAATTGTAAGGTGATTTCATTCAATTGGATGTGATCTCGAATGGAATGATAATTTATTTTAATTTGCTTAGTTTGAGCATGATAGACGGGGTTATGAGCGATGGTCATGGTTGATAGGTTATCAGAGTAAATTGTAGTAGGTGCTGAGTTGAAAACTTGGAAATCTTGTAGAAGTCGTCTTACCATATAACATCTGAGGGTAAAACGTGATATTCTACTTTAGTTAAGGATTTAGCAACCGTTAGTTGCTTTTTCAAGTTTCATTAGAGAACATTTGGACCAATGCAAGTACAATAACCTAAAATAATTCATCATTCACATCACTAACCCAGCTTGTGTCGACATAAGTATGAAAATAAGAGAGACAACTTAGAAGAGTAAATCAAACTCAAACGTGTCGTAAATATATCTTAAGAGACGCTTAAGATGTAGATAATGTAACTGAAGCGATTGTTGAAGATGTTGGGAGAGTGAATTAATAACAACTATAATATTTAGTTTAGTCAAGGTGAGATACTGAAGTGAGTCAACTAGTTGCATGTATAGAGAGGGATTGAGAAAGAGATCTGAAGAATCCGATAAGCATTTGGCAGCTATGATTTCTTGAGTAGAGACGGGTTTACATGTTGACATTCCAGCATGACCGAGGATTTCATGAACATAACTAGTTTGATTGAGGTGATAATCATAGGAGCTGTGTGTAATGTTTATCCCGAGGAAAGTCAAGACTAAATTCATAAATTTCATAGAGAAATGATGTTGTCCTATTGAAATTGCTGCATCATACATAAATCATTACCTTTTGAAAGAATATCATCAATGTAAAGCAGAGTGTAAGTGTTTCAGCTGATTCCATCTTTGTGAACTCTTTGTCCCTTTGACGGAACTCATTATTCAACAGCGTCGTAGTCACTTTGTCATAATTCAAGACCTCATTCACACGAATGAGTGTCATAGTACAATTTTCATACTCATCTGGGAGTGAATTCAACATAAGCAATGTCATGTCTTCATCTCCAACCTCCCCATCCAAATTTAACGAACCCACCAACAACTTTGTCAAGTCATTCAAGTGCTCGCCAATAGTAACCCCCCATCTCATGTAAAATCTGTAGATTCAATGCTTCATATGAAGACAATTCTCCATGCTCTTTGTGAGATGTTTGTTCTCTAGCATCTTTCATAATTTTTCTGCAAAAGTTTCCATCATCACCCCATATTTGATTTCTTGGGCCAAACAATTTTGGATCAGTTACAAGCACTCCAGTTCATTTTCAACCAATCTCTCCCTGAGATATTTTCAGAACATTCCTAGTTATCCAGGACTTCCTCCAGATTTAGAGAACATAGTGCTTTCATCATCTCACATCGCCACATGCCAAAGTTCCATTTGTCGTCAAATTTTGTCACGTCGATTTTGATGGGATGCGTAATCACCTGATGAATTGACTTTTACACTGTCATAACAGATGTTGACAAACTTGACGTTGTGCTACTGAAAATATGGTAAAGCCCTCCTTATCTACCTTGAATGAGAAAAAGCGCTTAAACAGGTCGATCAACCACAACATATGCTTTTGATGACAATAGAGAACGAAAGTTATTATTGAGACTATGGAGTTCAACAGTACTTGCACTGGAATTATCACATACTTATTGAAAAAACTTTGGAACTCATCATACAGAAGAAACCAGAGGTCTTATTTGAACTGGTTTCGATGGAATGCTAGAACCCTACCCACATCGTCCGTCGCTCGTGCCGACCTCGACATCCTCCGAAGAACGACATTGTCATGAAGAATTTACTTCCTATGCAACTCCTTCATGTTGTTATCCTTCAAGAATGAAGGATTCATAGAGCCAAATAGGGTGGGAGAGTCATTAGGTTCCATCTCAGAGGACAAAAGGCTGTCAGAAGGGGAAAAGAGAAGAAAAACCAAAGGCATGAAAAAGAAACCAGAACATGTAAAGGACAAAAAGTGGTTCCTTGCCCTATTTATAATGCGGGCTCATAAAACAAAACGTCACATAGTGATAAGTGTCATGTCAACCATACTTTCAAATTTATTGAAATGTTTGATTGTAAATAACATTATTAAATATCTAGAAAGAAGTGTTTTATGAACGTGTCTTCCAAGGCTTCAGTCGGAACATACTCCTTCTGAATCAATCTTTGGAGGACTATCTCTTCGCCTAATATAATCTGATCCACCCAATTAGCTTTGTGGTAAAACTTACCCAAATTGGTCAACTCATGAAGTGCTGCCAACTCACGCAACACCTCGACCATCCCACTTCGTAAGGTGGTGACCTCTACTCGCAGGGCCGCTACCTCTGAGTTCATGGTTGCCAGGTGGACTGATTACTTCTGCACAGGATTTACAGCCGAACCTTCGATCGCTCCCTCTGAGGAACCGACCAATACTACCAACTTTTGGTCCTATCTGTCTGCCACTTTATGCATATGGGAGAAGGTAGCTACTACCTTGATCACTTGTTGAGAAACTGACAGTGGGCAAAGTGTCGGATGACCGTTGCGCTTCTGAGGCGATTAGTGGCAGAAGCCTCCTAAATTCGATCAGCAGACTGGCCTTTGCAATGGGGGCAGACTCCACAACGTCCTTTGAAGGCGCACCACCTTCGCGGCCCTCCGATCAGGTCTATTCATCTACATCACAGATAACACCGCGAAGTTGTTAAGAAACCACCAATAAGCAAGGAGACTCTTTGCATAAAAAATCTTGCCCATTTCAGTGATAATTCTCGAAACTCCATCCCTTTCTTGTGATAAGATATCTTCTTTCCAAGTCGAAGGCTGGGAAAAACTGACGACTGTCGCTTCCTTCAGCTCAATCTCCCCGATCTCAACTTCTTCATTGATCAGGTCTTGCTAGCCTTTGACAACCATGTTTGCATCAGACCTATACACCAGAGTATCCTGGCAAAGCTTCTTCGACGACCGTTCCACAACGCCATCAAATGAGTCGACAACGTTGACTAGAGAAAGTTCGAGCCTCGACCGTTTTTCTCTCTTCACACTTTTCCTTCTCTTTACTAGAACTTGGGCACGAAATCCCATCTTGGCCAAATTTTTTGGGTCCACGTTGACTTGGCTTGTAGCATCAATAATGGTGTCTTCAGATATTCGGGAGAAAATGATGATAAGGAATGCAATGCCAAGCCTATGACTATTTATAGAGTACATGGGGCACAAAATCCAAAGGGAATTTAACTATCAAATCAATTTTATTGATTTTAATGTCACTGATTATTAATAATTTCTTTGTGCTCATCGTAGCGGTTACTTTTAAGGAGCATGAAAACTCGGGGAACTAATATGTTGTCAACATGAATCTCAAAGCAATCGAACATCATAGGATGGTGGCTGGACAATTAAAGCATATGACAAGAGGAGCATGATCCGAGCAGACCGTTCAATGACCAACTGCTCAGTCAAAAATAACTGACAAATTATGACAGGAGATTCAATCAAAGGACCACACATATGGTCCCGACCGCCTAAACTCCTTGCAAAGGCACTGGATTGCTACTAGTAGAATAACCAGCTTTTATCTCAGCAGACGTGGTCGTCACTCGACCGGTCACATCAATTGATCAAACTCAAATACGTCGGCTGACTGATTACTGTAATATTCAAATTCAAATTGTAATATAAATTTAGTGTTAATTCAACACATTGATTGTATTAAGGATGCTTTCCACAATCGTTCTTCCTTTCTGTAATTATAAGAATGCACTCCTCTAAATAAGAGGCCAAAGAACAAATAAAAGTCCCCCGATCTGAGGACTTTTTCCCGGCCTCTCTAGTGAGAATTTACTTACGTTTTTTTTCTCTCTTTCCTCATCCTCTCGAGTCTCTAACCCTCAAGGCATGTACATTCAAAAGATAATTCAATATTTAACAATAAGTGATGTCCGAAGATTTTTGGAAGAGAGGAAAGAAATAGACAAATCTTGAAGAAATAATGACAGCTCAAAGAAATCCTAGAGGATTTGAAGAATCACCGGAGATGGCTTAAATTTCTCCCGAAAAAAAGAAAAGAAAAAAAAAAAAAGGATTAATTGCACTCTCCCGCCGTTACCGGAGACCGAATCCGTGTCGTCGGGGCTGATCTCCACCTGAAAACCCTCGCATTCTTTCACTCTTCTTTCGCCGCCATGATATCTCTCCCCTCCGTCTCTTCTCCGCTAAACTTTTCTCTCCTGCCCACCTCTTCCGCATCTCCTAAAACCCTAAGTTATCGTCCTCTTCTCTCTAAACACTCTCCGTCTCGCGGCCCCCCCGTCGAGTTTTCTGCACTCGCATCTTCTTCTCATAAGCTGGTCTCCTTCAACGGAGCATCCGCGGGTTCTGTTTTTGGATCAGAGCCTCAAAAAGATCAATCTTCCTTTTGGGCTTCTTCCTCTCCTTTGTATGTTTCTCCTCCCCAGACGCCGGACACCGCGATGAGGGGTGCTGAGTCCGACGTGATGGGCTTGCTGTTGAGAGAGAGGATTGTGTTTCTAGGAAGTGGCATAGATGATTTTGTGGCGGATGCTATTATCAGCCAGCTGCTGCTCCTGGATGCTCAGGATCCTAGTAGAGACATAAGGCTGTTTATTAATTCTCCAGGAGGATCCCTCAGGTTTGATTTTGCTCAAATGGTTTTGTTATCTATATTATGTATGATCTGATTGGCTTAGCATGAATTTGAAGTGTAATTGAAGAGGAAAAAGGTTTTTTTTAACGATATGCTTGCTCGTTGAAGCATTCTCTTTTTTTTTTTTTTCATTGCGATATTCATGGAATGATATCTTGTTAGCCGAGTTCATTGCGATATTCATGGAATGAGATATCTTGTTAGCCGAGTCTACTTTTACTTTAGAGTCCAAAGGCGTTTAGAAAGTGGTTTACTACCGATTTGGGGTGAATTCACATCTTACATAAGTAGACTCAAATGTGTAGTATTTCGAAGCTCAAAAACTCAATTCTAAGAATTTTCTATAAAAATAAAACAAGGTAATGCGTTTTGGATTCACTTCTCCTTTAGTCTCATCTTGTGAAACAAAGTAAGTACCTTGGTTAAAATCAATAGTTAATGCTTTACCCCGGTTAATCTATGTTGTAAAACTGTGCACTTACTGCATAGTTTGCTTTGTAGGATTGTTTTCATCAAGAAAATTCTTTATTTGAATCTGAAGATATATAAAGAGAAGATTTTTAAATATGATGTGCTACATAGGGGCAGTCTGAGAAACAAAAAAGCCAAATGAATGATTAACGTAGAAAATAGACTTAAATTCCTTATCAAATGCACATGCCCAAGCTCTTCAAGTGAGCAATCACTTCACTAGCACATGCTAACTGATATTTCTTTGTCATCCATCCACACACTTATTGTAGTTTCACTATTATTCTCTATATGCTTAATTTCACACTCTATTAAGTTTACTCAGTCTTGCGTAATCATCACTAATGTCTCATCATAACCCACCTTCACTTTTGCTCTCTTATCTCACAACAAATTGTGTAACAGAAAAATGTGTTTATTTATCGAATTCTTATGTAGATTAAAGTAAGACGAAACATTCTAGTTTTGTGGACTACATCCGAGTGGCTTAAGCAAGACTATTGCCCCCAACATTCTCACCTTGTCAAAGCTCCCATGAGGAAAAGCTTTTGACTGTCAAGTTACTATTGAAGCATTTAAATACTTGGTCTTTCTCAATTGGAGGGGTTGCATGAACCTACCTTCAACCATGATCAAGGTCAAGTGAGTTGGGTGTTTAGATATTGAAGAGGATCCTGTCGAAGGATATTAATTTCTTGAAGCTCAAGGAGCTCTTTTGATGGGATGAACAAAATTAATTAAGTATTCGGCCTTGGAGCCCTATTTCCGGCTATGGTTTAAGCCATGTAATTGATTAGGAAGTCATATCCATAGGTTGTTGTGGTCATGCTACATCTATTAAGATGAGGATGTATGTACCTGTTGTTCAGGTTGATTGATCTGCGGGTAGATCCTAACATGGGAAGTAGGGCCATATCATCCTTAAAGATCATGTGTGACAATCTTTCCCTGTAGAGGATGGATGGTGGGTCCCTAAGGAGAGCACCTTGAGGTCAGTGTTGAGGGTTGGAGTTATACCTCTTAATTACTAAGGGCATAGTTTATAATGATCTGAATTGGATGATTAAATCAGGGCCAGGTTTACAAAGTTTGTGTTTATGATAATTTGAAGTGGAGGACATAATCTTAGTTAAGGGTCGTAAGATCGATGCTGGTGTAATTTGCCTCAAACCAATATTTGTTTTGAGTCATTCATTGAATATAAAAATTGAAGCCAATTTCTACAACGATTATGTTTAGCTATGAAATTCTATTTAGGTTTTTGACAGACATGCTTAAAAAGAAGGTTGAGGGGAAGAGAGGAAAAAGAGGTGGTTGAGGAGAGTTAGGCATCTTCATTTCAGTGGAAATCTTTTTTTTTTTGTAGTAAAAGGAGATTTATGCATTACAATTGTGGAATATGGAGTAGGCATATTTGGCTTTTCTCTAAAGATAACATCCTCTAACAATTAAGGAGTCGGCCTATTATCTCTTTGTTTGGTTTACATAAATCTTGGTTTAGAGATTTACTACACCAAAGACGTCCTAATAAATAAGTGAGGGCAGTTCTATTATACTATTGGACCAAATTATCTCTAGTTTAACTATTTTTCACGTTAGTGTTGATACCTACCGTAATAATTTCAAATATTTGACAGTAATAAGAGAATTTTTTCATATTGTATTAATGCATGATTTTTGCCTTCAAATTTGGGTGTTTGTAAAATATTGTTATTGTTAGTACGAAGTCGGAACTTAAAATATTGAGAATTAATTGATGGTCTACAACCATGCATAAATCTTATTACAAATTCATAAAATTATTTAAATTTAAATTTTGCTAATAAGAAGACATTCTATGGACGTGACATGCTATTATCAATATGATACTCTTCACTCAGCGTTATGACGTATGCCCATAATTCAATGTTAGAATAAATAGGAAAAAGTATGGGATAATTTTGGTGGGAACTTTAACTATTTCTGAATCAAAATAAGTATACTTCAGTTGGCATTTTTTTTTCCTTATAGATAGCTTCTTATAACAGATTTTGCCTGATTGTTTCCTTAGATATCATATCCCCTGTTGGATTCTATCTTCTCTCCAATTAGTTTGTCATATTTTAATTTAAACAACCCTAGATTTTCTTATTATCTCTGTTGTAGGTCTTACACAACATTGGAGCAATTTTTAGGTTGTAGCAGCAAGTGACAATTGATTCATTTGACATCGTTAGTATCAGCGACAACAATAACAAGCTTAACTAAGCTCCATGAGGTCACCATAATCATATAACTAACTATAGCTCTTCTAGAATGTTCACCTTTTCCATCTTGTCTACTATATATGTATGTATAAAACCTACTGTGTAAAGGTGTGGAGGAAATTATATGTAAAACCGCATTCTCTGCTTCTCACTGCAATGGCATAGACATTCCTTCCATTGCAGGTCTTTACGGTATCAGAGCTGCTTCTTCCTAGAAAAGGGCTCTCTTACTACAAACAAGTAAGCATCTAACCCTAAACCATTAATTCGGCCACTGCAATGGATGAATCGAACATTTTTTATTCCCAATCTTTGGTTCTACCTATACCCATTACAAGTATTCCCCCTTCTCTGAAGTTCTTAGTCTCTCATCTCAAGCAATTCACAAAATCAACCAACACAGAGAATTACCACGTTTGGCGTGCACAAATTCTCAAGATATTTATGCCAAATGGGTTTGCCAGCTTTCTTGAGGGGAGTTGTTCATGTCCTACACCCACAAAAGATCAATTTCAGGCGTGGAACTTAACTAATCAAAATCTGACAACATCGTTGTACTCTACCATTTCTCCTATAGTTCTACCTATTATTCTCAACCTACCCACCACTGCTACTATGAAGACAACTTTGGAACGTCGGCTACAACCTACCAATAGATCTAGAGTGATCCAATTGAAAAATGTGTTACATAATGTCTCAATGAGGGATCACGCAATGGCTCGATACCTAACAAAGATCAAGACATTGGTTGATCAAATTACTGCTAAACATTTGAATCTGATCAAGAGGACATAATTTTATATATTCTCAACGACCTTCCTACATCCTACAATGCATTTAAGACAACCATCCGAACTAACCTTCAACCCATATCCCTCGATGACTTATATTCTCTTCTATGCAGTGAGGAGATCAACATCAATAAGGAAAACACAAAACACTTCATCTAAAGAAGATCAAATGACACTTGCAGTTTCTCGGGCAAAAGTCATCTCTTACAATAGAGATAGAGGCAAGAACATATCTTCAAACTGTAAAGGAAGCTCAAGAGGAGGATCTCAGGGAGGTCGACAATCAACTCGGTCCAACATAACTTCTCAAATCTGTAATAAGACATGACACTCTGCTGTCATCTGTTGGCATAGGATGAATCTTGAATACACTCCTATGGTCCAACCACAATCCCTCCAAGCTTCATCAAAGGAGTGAATATTGGATTCCAGAGCAACGGAACACTTCACTTAAGAGATCAGCCATCTTTAACAACCAAAGATCTACCACGGAGTTGAACAACTGACGGTTGGCAATGGGAACACTGTTCTAATTGAGCATAAGGGTGACGATATACTTCCAACCCAAATTATAATTTGAAATTATCTCACATATACCATGCTTCTTTGCTCGCCCATAACTTGCTTTCCATTCATAAATTAACCAAAGATAACAAATCGTTGTTTGATGCTTCCAACTTTTCATTCTATGATCCATAGACTCAACTGGTGCTCCTCCGGGGTCTCAGTTCTAAAGGTCTCTACTTAATTCACTCATCCACACAGTACACAAAAGTGTTTACTATCTCTCTTTGCAAAGCTCAATATGCCGAATTGTGTACCGAAGATTAGGACATCCACACCATGACATCATCTCTGTCATCTCCAAGCATCAACAATTACACATTCCATCTACTCCAAGTTTCTGCAGTATTTGTAACTTTACTAACAGTCATAAACAACCTTTATTACCTCATGTAGGACATAAATACAAATTCTTAGAACTAATTCATAGCGATGTATGGGGACCATCCCCAAGTACCTCATATCAAGTTTTTAAATACTATATTTTCTTTGTTGATGACTACTCCAAATTCTTTTGGGTTTTTCTTATGCAAAATAAATCTGAGACAACTCAAATCACAAAAACTTTCATTCATCTTCTTCAACATCAACTCAATATAAAAATAAAAATTCTTCTTTACGATGGTGGAGGTGAATACAATAATCATAACCTCAATCAATTCCTTAATCAAAATGACATCATCCATCAATATTCATACCCATACACCCCCGAGTAAAATGGGGTGGAGGAATGAAAACATAGGCATATTCTTGAAACGACTTGTGTTGTCATACACCAAGCACATGTCCCCTACAAATTTTTGTCCACAGTCTTCTAACGGCTATACATCTCATAAATCGCATGCTGACTAGAACTACACACTACGCATCCCAATATGAGCACCTTCGCAAAACTCCACCAAACTTTGCTCAT